TTTAAGATTTATCAGGTTTAACCGTAACTGCTTGTCATACTCCAATAGATGTAAATTGTCCCTATCATCATGAAGAGCAGTTTGGTGACTCTCCAGAGCTGCCTCAGCGCTAGCAACTCTTTCAGAGATATGGCTAAAGTGCAGTTTATTTAGCTCTTTCAAAGGCCTCTTCAGATACTTGAGCTTCTTACAAAGAGAGAACATAGGAGAGCCTTGGATATGACAAGACCAGTTACAAACAATCTGCAAGAAATTCTCATGAGAAGCCCATATATTGAAGAATTTAAAATTACACCTCCCATGTCTGATCTGATAATCAAACCGAATGATGGCTGGAGAATGATCAGAAAAGGCCCCAGGATTACCGAAGAGGACATGAGCTGGTGTTCGAAGTGAGGACCAAGACGAGTTGGCTAGAACTCTATCAATTTTGCTCCATACTCTTCCATTATTCCAGGTAAAATGGCAGCCCGTGAAATTGAGATCAACAAGCCCAAGATCTGTACAACAGTCTCTAAAATCTGATGTTTCATTGGTGGAGACAGGCACGCCATTGTGCTTGTCATCCTGAAACAAAATAGAGTTGAAGTCACCCATAACCAATCATGGGTTATTAGGCTGCCATGCTCTGAAATCTGCCCATAGGGATCGTCTAGCAACAATAGTATTAAATCCATACACAAAAGTTACAGTAAGGCTAAGCTGAAGTACTAAGCTGGAGATATTTACATGCAGCCCTTGAGCTGAACAACCAAGTAAATCAACTTTTACCGTTAAAGGATTCCAAAAAACCACAATTCTAGCAGAGCTTGCTACATCTGTATTTGTAAGAAACTTCCAGTTCTTGAGAAGAAAGTTATGCATAGAAGTAACTCTTGAGGGTAGCAACTTAGTTTCCAGCAACCCACACACATCTATCTTATGCTTTTTCATGAGGCTAACAACCTTATGTTGTTTGAGGAGACTATTAAGACCCCTGATGTTCCAGCAATAGATAATCATGAGATTGCATGGGAAGGGAAGACCCTTCCACTACGACCACGTTGTTTTTATTACGAGTTTGGACTCCACTCGTGACAAACACCTCTAATATAGGAACTTTACCAGAATTTCCAGCCATAATACCATCTCCAGAAGCAACCTGGTTCTAGAAGGAGAAGTACGTTGATCCTCTCCAGGACAAGGATTTGCCACAGAAGGATCATTTGTAGGAGGCGAGGCGCAATGAATATTTGTAACACAGGTATATTCCACCAATGATTCAGGCCTAGGAGGGGAGGCACTCCGAATATCTCCTACACATGTAGGGGGACAATGTGATACACAAGTTTTGACATCAAGCATGGTCTCTGCTACAACCAATGCTTTCCCTTTTGAATTGCGACAAGATTGCCTGCTGGCCTTACGTCTAGATTCCACAGTAACCCAACCATCAGGAACAACATTATTGGCTGCTGAGACAGTATCCATCCCAGGAGTCACTTGATGAGCAGGAGACGGACCTTGCACCTGTGGAGTAGTCTCCTTGTGTGGAAGTTGGGGTCCCAATCTACTAAAGACAGTACCTTTATCAGCTTGAACCGTCTGAGCCTGAGGATGATTATCAGAAACTATGTTGACATTGGCAGCAGCTTTGGGACAAAGAAGACGTGAGTGGCCAAGGACATGGCAGAAATTACAATACTTCGGTAGAGTTTCATAGATAACCTTTTGGTGCAGAGTAATTCCATCTGGTAGAGACACCTCAACAGAGTGTCGAAGCTCCTCAAGAAGATCAAGTTCAACCAACACCCAGGCATAGGACATACGAGAAAGATTGGAGGTAAGCTGATCACACTGAAGAGGCTTCCCAATAACACTGGCAATCTTGGATAGGCAAATGGGTGACCAGCAGCATAGAGGAAGATTTGGGAACTTCACCCAAACCGGGACCCGAGACATTTCCTCACCTGAGAAGTTAAATTTTTTTGTCATAGGCCACAGAATATGGGGCCAGCCATACACAAGATAAGGTCCTCCACGAAGTACTGTGAGCTTTTCATCCTCTGTTTTGAATCTATATACCAGCCACCCAGAGTCATGAATCGTGAGGGTGGCCTCACATTTCCAGACATTAGAGATGATACTATTTAAAGCCCTATAATCAGGACTCTTGCCGGATACGTATCCCACAGGACAAAAATTCCAAACTTCAAACTTTGGTTGGATGTCCTCAGGGGATATGGCACAAGTTTTAGTGAGATGGTTAAGAGAGAAATTTTGAAGTTTGGTACAAGAGACAGATGATCGATTTGAAACGAAAAGGTCCCGCCATTTGTTACTACCTGGAGAAGGGGAAATAGGGTTACCTGCGACAGTGGTAGTGTTAGGCACTCGACCTTCAGAGGAAGAGGGGAAGACACGTTCTCAGCAGGGGGCAAGGTAGGAGATTTAGGAGAATTAACACACTCTTCATCTGAAAAATTGAAATCCAATCGATCTTCTTCAAGAATCGCATCATCAAAATCAACAGAGCAATCTTCTACCTGGGCCTCATCTAAGGATATAGAGCCAGAAGCGACCACCGGCACAGAAGCAGGTTGGGGGTCACTAGGGCACACATCGCTTGGTAGTGATGATGACATGAGGGGAGGACTGTGCAGGGTTCACAAGGAACAGTAACAAGTTTGGTACCAGGATCAACCATATCAGGGACTGCAATAGGAGCACACAAAGTGTCTTGTCTGCGAGCTACTGTAGAACTAGCCTTTCTTTTGTTCTTAGCTATTTGAAAAGAGAAATGGGCGGGAAAAGAGAAAGAGAGGGAACCGGGGACGAGGTGAAAATTAAAGGAGGGGGAAACAAGGAAACAGAAAAGAGGAGACAAACAGAAAGAAGAAAGAAACCAAGGCCTTGTTTGCTTCAAGAAAACCAGATTCCAGGAATTCATTTTCCTCATTTTCCAATGTTTGGTAACCATCCGAAAACTTGGTCAAAGGAAAATTAATTCCAGTCAACAAAAAAAACTTACTTTACCTGCAGGAAAGTGCTTTCCTTTCCTTGTCAAAAGGAAAACACTTTCCTATCTTTACACATGTGAATCTCCCTTTCTACGTCTCTGTTCAAAAACAATTGAAAAGCCAAGAAACACACTCTTCATTTCAGGTATTTTTTTCCTTTAATTTCTCTATTATTTTTCTTTATTATTTCCTTAATATTTTTATCTTCTACGTTTTATCTTCTAGTAGATCTACAACTTCTTGATCTTGTTTATTTATTTTGAAATTTGTCTGTTTAATTTTTCTTTTGCCTGTCAATTTTTTCCCCATACTTTTCTTCTTCATCTCCCCGTCACAGTAAAAAAATGCACATATTAAATTTGTCTACAACTTCAGTTTTCTTCTTCATCTCCCCATCATAGTAAAAATACTCACAGAAAACGCAACCAATTTCATCACAATCAAGCCATAATAAACACATTTTTTCTTACACATTCGGCAGCTTCCCTGTTAGTTGATAAGCAGATAAACAAAAACAACACCCAACCAACCCCTGCCTTGTTTCCCTATCACCGGATCCAACACAAAGAGAGTGACGCACACAGGAGGGGAAACTGTTGGGCGAGAGAGGGATGAGAACTGGGGATGAGGAGTAGATCAGTGATAGGCGAGAGAGAACCGAGAGAAAGAAAATAGGGGAATGGTGATGGTGTCTTGCCCCTTGAATTTGTGATGGTGCCCTGCTTCTTCAAAGAACAGAGGAATGGTTAGATTAGAGAGAACCGAGAGAGAGCAGGGGAAGAGAGACAACCGAGAGAGAACAATCAGTGATAGGCGAGAGAGAATAAGCAATGATAGGCAAGAAAACCAAGGGGAATTAGGGGAATTTCAGAAACTGAATGAGGTGAATCAGAGGGGAATGAGACGGGAATGAGAGAAACCGATTGACAGGGGAATGAGAAACCGAATGAGAAGGGAATAACAGTGGAATGAAATTGAATGAGATGGGAATGAGAAGGAAATGACAGTGTAATGAAACTGAATGAGAAGATTTGGCAGATGATGATGGGAATGACTGTGGAATGAAACCAAATGAGAGGAGAAATCGAATAATGATGGGAATAACAGGGGAATGAAACCGAATGATGTCTTTAATTAGTTATGGGAGAGAGTTAGAGATAGGCTAATTAGTTATGGGAGAGAGTTAGAGATAGGCGACAGAGAACAAAGAAAACGGTGGGTTTTTTTTTATAAAGCAAAGGTATAGGTTGATGTATTTTGTTCATGTGGTAAATCTTTCTAATTTGTAATTGATGATTGGGTTGATTATTATTTTTTTCATACAAATATTATGGACCAGCCTTGCTACCTATTAGTGCTTAAACTCAATAATCTTTATAGTTATAGTTAACAAATCAAAATAGAATATAATTGAACCTAGCCATGAACTCAACAATCTCTATGATTATAAGTAACAAATCAAAATATAATAGAATTGAACCTCGTCATGAACTCGATCATGTGTTGTGTTGTCGCATATGAGGTGATTTTTGAAACTTATATTTATTTAATTATTTGATAATCACATTATTTTTAAGAATTAAAATGATTGATCTTATTGATCATTGTGAACTTATGAATTGTATATTGTTAGCTTTTTTTAGCATAATTTATTGTATTAATTGTGTAAGTATTTTATATACTTTTTTTAATATTTATTTCCCTATATTTTTAGGTTTTGTTATCAGAAAACTTCACTTTCATGTTATGGATAGTAAGATAATTAATGCAGCATGCATGGGAGCAGCTGTAACTGTGATAGCTACAGGGGTAGCTATTATTGAAGAAGAAAGAAATAGAATTTATATACCAAGAGAACCACGTATAAATGCAATTGCTCAACGAGAATTCTATATTGACAGCATTTTGAATCGAGGTGATCGACATTGCGTTGAACAAATTCGTATGAAACCTGTTGTATTCTATAGATTGTGTGATGTTCTCACAAGTCGTAACCTATTACGATCAACAAAAAATGTGTCTATTAGGGAGCAAGTTGTTGTGTTCTTACAAATTGTAGGCCAAAACCAAAGATTTCGGGTTATTAGTGGTATATACTATAGGTCTGTTGAAACTATCCATCGTTACTTTAGAATTGTTTTAAAAGCAGTTCTTAAGTTATACAAACACCTTATTAAAGATCCAGATGATGCAATTCCAGCAGAGATAATGAATAATAGAAGATTCTATCCTTATTTTAAGGTATGAAAACAAAACCAATATTTTTATGAATTAATTGATTATATTCAGAAGAAAAGGTTATAAATTATTTTTTCATTTCTATATAGGATTGTGTGGGAGCAATTGATGGTACCCATATTCCTGCAAATGTTCCTGTTGAGATTCAAGGAAAGTTTCGAGGACAAAAAGAAGGAACAACACAAAATGTTTTAGCAACTATAACTTTTGATTTGAAGTTTGTATATGTTTTAGCTGGCTGGGAAGGAAGTGCCCATGATTCACGGGTTTTAGGTGATGCATTATCAAGATCTAATGGTCTAAAAATTCCAGAAGGTATATAATAAAGTATGTATTATATGTAATAAACATATAAAGTGTCTTATTACATAAAGATAATAATAGGTTTTTTTAAAAAAATTTGTAGGGAAATATTATCTTGGTGATGCTGGTTACGGTATTCGAAAAGGAATCATTTTTCCTTTTCGTGGAGTTCGATATCACTTGAATGAGTTTACAGAACGCTCACCGGAAAATGAAAAGGAGCTATTTAATCTTCGACACTCTTCATTGAGAACCACTATTGAGCGAGGGTTTGGTATTTTGAAGAGTCGTTTTAGATCAATTGATGGAAAATCTTTTTGGTCTTATGAAACACAAGTAGATGTTGTGCTTGCATGTTGTATTATTCATAATCACATAATGGGGGTTGATCCTTATGACTTTCTTATGGAAGAAATATGTTTGGATAGTGAACCAATTAGACGAACAATCAATTTAAGTCAACGGGAGGAAAGGGAAGAGAATAGAGAGTGGATAACAAAAAGAGAAACGATTGCCTCAACCATGTGGAATGATTATAACACTCAAAGAAACTAGTAATTGAGTGTTAATTATATGTGTTTGTTTATATTATGTCTTGCTTGAGTTTGTATTATATTTGTTGTGTATTTGGAGTAGATGTTGACTTTATTGTAATCTCTCTTTTAATTATTAATTGTTAGTTTTTATATGAAATTTATTAAATCTAAATATTATATGATTTTATTTTGTTTAAATTTGTAATTTCTTTTTTGTAGAAATGAGTTCTACACAGAATGAAAAATGCAAGGGTAAACACTTCACATGGTCTAAGCCTATGTCTCATATGTTGCTTGAGATACTAGCTGAGGAGGCACTTAAAGGAAGCAAACCTTCTTCCACCTTTAAAGCAGAATCTTTTGTTAAGGTGGCTACAGAAATAAGTCAAAAGTTCAATGTGCAATGCGAGCCTAAGCATGTGGACAATCATCTCAAAACTGTGAAAAAAGAATGGGGAATAATAACCAAGCTTAAAAATAAAAGTGGCTTTGGATGGGATGATTGTTTGAAGATGATTACAGTTTCGAAAGATGTATATGATGAAGAAGTAAAGGTATGATAAATATTATACTTTTTATAATTTTTATATTTACTTTTGTTTCTAAAATGTTATACAATGAACTAAAAAATTACATATTCTATATTGTATAAATAGGCACATCCCAATCATGACAAGTATCTCAACAAAAAACTTGATATGTACGAGATAATGACAATTGTTGTTGGAAAAGACATGGCAACTGGAAATTATGCGAAATCATATGCTGATGTCAACTTGGAAGAGCACACTGAAGAGCAATCAATTTCAATTGAAAATGAGGGGGAATATGAAGAAACTTCTAAGGGAAAAGAAACATCTTCCTCTAGTACACAAAAGAGGCAACATAGAAAGAGAAATCGCATGTATGAAGATGATGGTATTGAAAAGTTGTCTAAACAGATTGGAGATGTAGCATTTGCAATTCAAAGCCTCAGCAAAAATCAACTTGATGTTAATGCGTTGTATACGGAAGTGATGAAAATTGAAGGCTTTGATGAGATCACTCTTGGGGAGGCATTTGATCATTTGGTCCAAAATGAAATGTTGGCAAAAGCATTTATGGTAAAAAATGCTAATTTGAGGAAAATTTGGGTTCAGAATTTTGTGAGCCAACACTACTACAGGCCTGCTTCCTAAGATGGTTTGACTTTGTTAAACATTTGGGTTCAGACTATGTCTGTTATTTGATGATTTATTATTTGACGAGTATGTTTATTTATTTAATTCTGTCTAGCATGTTTATGTTTGTAATTTGAACTAATATGTATGTTTATAACATCGAAACTTAATATTTATGCATGACTATATTTGATGTTAGATATTTATATTTATTTCTTTATGTTTATTTGATATATATTAAAGGGATAATTGTCTTTACCTGTAAAAAAAAATATTTATCTAAAAAACCCATCAAAATATTTTTGTATCTATTTATCTTTTAAAGAATTCTTTATACCAAAAAAAAACTCAAATATATAACTCTTACCATAAACTAATTTGGCTTTCTTCATATGAAAAAAAAACTTATTTTAAGCTTTTAAAATTAAAAAATATATATATTAATAGGTTTAACTTAAAATATATTCATAAGCTTATTTCTCTATAATATGATATGACATATATAGTTATATTTTATAAAATAAGCTATGTATAAATATAAGATATAATAAAAAAAATTCATCATTATACTTTTTAGATTTTATTCTTTTATTGTAAGTGATTAAATATTTGTATTAAATATTTTATATATATTAGATAAACTTCAAAAAAAAAAAATTAATTCATTAATAAATTATTTTCCAGTTCATTTTCCATAACATAACCAAACACTGGAAAGTGTTTTCCAGTTCATTTTCCATAACATTACCAAACACTGGAAAATACTTTTCTGGAATTCATTTTCCAGGAATTCACTTTCCC